AAAAGCCTAATAAAGATGGCAGAGGTTGAGGATGCATTAAATTTCATCTCTCTAAAGGGATTTTATGATCACCAGAAACAAAGCAAAGCTTTGACTTCCTTCTATCAACAAATATCAACTAACCTCTCTACTTTTCTCTTTCAAAATGTTTAGTTTTTCATGCCAAATCTTATGTTGTTTCCATGGCTTTAATTTCCTAAAAGTTGTCTTCTATATACTTGTATTTAATTAACCCAACACCGCTTTAAAATATCAGAATTTGTAATGGGTAGCTAAAACATTTCTCATATTTGTAAATACAGCAACAACTTTTTGTGTTTTTGACAAAATATGGCAAACATAGGACAAAATATAACAAAATATCAAACCAAGTATATCAGTGAGATGTCAACACTTTTATATCAGATATATCGTTAGTGTATATATCAACACTCATAATCAGGTATATCAATTTATTGATTCATTTAGTAATATAATAAATCAGGTATATGAATTGTATGTAAGCATTCATATCAGGTATAGAAGACAAATATTTAGGTTACAAAAAACAAACAATTCGTTTAACATCGGTAAATAACACAATACAATTCATTAAGAGAAACTGAAAACACTAAAGAGAAGTAATATAGGATTGATGTGTTGGTTGAAAGTATATTGGACTTTTTATTTTTCTTACAAGTTTCTAGATTTTTTCTACTTTGAAAAATTGAAAAGTAGTTGATACTTAAACAAATTTCTATTAATTTTTTTGTTACTTTTGCAAATGCCCCTTAAAAAAGATCTAGAAATTCTTTTGTTGTTTTGAAGGAATGTTAAATATAAACAATTATTTGTGAGAAATTAAGCTTACTTTAAAAAACAGAAAATAAAAAACAAAATAATTACCCGATTAAGTCTAGCTAATTGAAGATATTAATTTTGCTCTTTGAAGTTTAACAAAAGTTGATGAAGGATTGGAGATAGCTTGAAAAAAGGTCCACTATACATCGGATATGTAGTTTAAATATATCGAGATAATTAATTATGTATATAATTATATATCTATATAATAAGGCTAGATAAAGATAAAAAAGAGGTATAAAGAAGGGCTTTTTTCAAGCCTTCATGGATTGCTAATATGTTGTATGAGTTCTTTGTACCGAGGGTTCGAATCCCTCTCTTTTCGTTTCTGTCAATTATTTGGTATTTTTTTATAGTTGAGGAAAGATATGGAATGGATAAAATTTTAATAACCAAATTTTTAAAAATAAATTAAAATACGTTATGATTAGCTTAAATATCAATTAATGGATGAAATTTTGTCAATGAAAATGTAAATGTGCAATAAATTGCATTCACATAATTTTGAAATTTCTTCTGTCACTCTTTATTTTTGGTTGAGTTCATGCTTCCCACCACACAATTTGGTGCCTGGTCTATTTATGCTGACTCTCTCTTCAAGTTAGAACCCATAGAAAAAAAATTAGGGTTTTGACTTTGGAATTATTTTCTTTAAATATCTTTGGGACTTAATCAAACACATTTTATTTTTTTAAACTAACACATCCAGATAGACATTTGCATGTGCATATCATTAAAACCTAGGGTGGGAATTAAAGAATGACTCATTTGTAGGAATCACAAGCATCCAAAATTTGGCATAGTATTTTTTTTTTTTAAATACTTATTTTCAAAACGTCCATTTTTTATTCCTGTACTTTCAAATTTAGTTCATTTTAGTCGTCATTGTATTTTCAAAAGCGTCTATTTTCTGTACTACGTTTAGAAAGTGATCATTTTGGTCCCTTGATTTTCATTTTTATCTCATTTTTTTTCAATCATAATTTTATCATGACACTCTACTCATAAAATTTCTTGAAATATAATCATAATTACAAAAGAAGTAAAGATTTTGAAGGTCAAGAAGAAGCTAGAGTTTTAACGTTGTTCAGAATAAACAAAACTGAAAATATATGAACCAAAATAGTATTCAAACTTTTATTTTTATGAGAATTTAGTTCGCCAGTGGACCTTTTTTCTTTTTTTCTCCTTTCTTTCCTTCATCTAACTCATATATCACTTTTCTTATTTTCTTGTATTGACAAAGACAATTGAAAATTAAAGAGTTTGAATCTTTAATGTAGGTCTTTTATACCATTTATGTTAATTAGTAAGATTAAATGAATACTTTCACAAACTAATTAAATTGTTGGAGAGATTCGTGGTGAAGTTTTTCACGTCAACTCATTTATTTATTTTTTTATACACAAGTCAGGCGATCGTTTGACTTTTATCTCCCCCGTATACTTGGAGTATATGCACTGTTCACATACATGTACTTATGCAATGAGTCATTGCTTGACGGAGTTGCTATACATAAACTCATTTATAAGACTAAAACTTTCCCAAAATTATTTTAGGTGAATCGAGGAATTTTCCTCTTTCTCTTTTTCGAAAATCCGATTTTGGTAGCTGCTAAAGGAGAATTATCTAGAGTTCCAAACCTTTAATCCAAGTGGGTTTTGGTTGTTGGGGGTATGTCTCCTTTTAATTGTCTTTCTTTGAAAATGTTTCATAAATTGGTAGGCTTTTAACACCCAAATCATTTCTTGGAAGAAACTTTTGGTTTGGTGGGGTTTCTCTGTTTTGTGATTAATTGTGTGCTTAACCTTAAGTGATTGCTTTTAAAGTGCTTTTAAAACCTTAGTCAAATTCCTTAATGATAAAAGTTTTTGTGAATGCTTAATACTTTTGCACTAAAGTTAAAAACCTTACAATCTTTGTGGATTTCTTATAACATATTTTCATCAATCACATATTGAAATTTCCTCTAATCAAATAAAGTAAGGATTTGATTGGTTTAAAGTCATTTAAACTATATGAATACCTAGTTTAAAGTGTTGGATCAGACAAATTTAGAAGCATGCGCAAGTTGTCTCTTTTAAGGGGTGTTTATGTTTAATTTGGTGGAAATTTTTAGTAACATTTCTATTTCTTCGTTTCTCGTTTTTAGTTTAGAAGAGTTCTTCACAGAAACTTTCCTACTAAACAAACATATTATTCAACGATATCAAATAAATCAAATTATATTATAGATATCCAAGCAACTAAGGATGTGATATTATATTTTCATTCCATATGAACCTACGATCTCTTAGAGAGCCACATTGGTCATTAAAAGAGTTTTTTTTTTTAAATAGTAATCCAAAAAAAAAAAAAGAAAAAAAAGGGTATTTAGGGTATGTTGGCCATGGTTCAAAAAAGTGGTAAATTAACTTGATTACTACCTAATCTTATCTTATCTTATGCATATGCAAAGTTCTTTTGTAGCAATGATAGATAACTAAAAATAACTCAATGTTGTATCTATAATGTATATATATACTCATAGTAATGATATAATTAAGTAATTTAGATCAAGATTAGCATCTATTATGAAATAGAGTTCTTTTAAAACAATCATGATGAAAAAAGTATTCCTTGATCCCAAAGTTTGATATTTTGCTTCAGAAATCTCGTTAAACATTATTATTAGCCCTAAATCAATATTCACAAAATAGTGTCCTCCAACTATAAAAGGTTCATAACTAGCCACAAATCTTTAAAAAGGTAAAAAACGGATTAATTTGAGATATTAAGTGCTTGTTTGGTTACTTCCCGTTTGTTGTTTCCATTTCTCATTTTTAACAAAGAAAACAGAATTGCATAACGTACCCTAACACTAAGAGATTCAAGAATGACAAAACAATGTTTTTATTTCTGTTTTGGAACAAATTGGAAAAGGAAACAAGAAACTTGTTTTTGTTGTTCTTAGAATTTCTATACAATTTTTAAAATGTTTCTTAAAAAAAAGGAGAAACCAAAAACACAAATAGTTGCCCAGGCTTAGATTTCTTCATTCATTTGAAATGAGAATAAGAAAAATGGAGTTCCATGAGTATCCACCGTATAAACTACATTTATGTCGTACTTCCATTTCTAGGAGTCTTCATTCGACAGAACCGTTAGATCTCATGTCACATCTTGATGGCCTAATAATACCATTCCAGAATAATGATAGGTGTGAAACTTTCTTTTTGTCAATTAAAAAATGTGACACAGACCACCTTAAGCAATATTATCAATTCAATCAAATGATAGTTGCGGGGGGAAAGTTTGAAAAAATGGCAGATGGATGACATTGAGGGGAGAGCTTGAGAGATACTATATATATATAAAAAAAAGAATAGATATATAAGATAAATCTATAAATGAGTCAAATTTTTTAATTGGTGGAAATATATTTATAAATCTAGTAAATCCCTTCGTACGTATTACGAGCAAAGTTGTAAAATGTACAAATTTAGCCAACTCCCTAAATATCCCAAAATTTATGAGATATTTGACTGATTTGATTTAGAAAAAAGTTCAATTTTTTATCCATGCGAGTTCATTTTTATTAGACTTTCTATTTTATTAACTTCCATTTTTATTATAAATTTTCAATTTTATTAACTTGTACTTATTAAGGATTTCACATTGATAAAAGAATGGACCTTACATAGGTTTATAATACACATGGGTTACTCTCATTACCAATTGTATAATACACATGGACTACTCCTCTCATTGCTAATTAGTTTTGAGATGAAACCCTATGAATATTAATAGTACCTTCTAAGCATTGCGAATTTTAACTTATTGTATACTTTTGTTTGAAATGTTATAAAAGAAGGACCTCATGCAAAATTGATGGAGCCTCAAATAAAGATGACATTAAATCGACTCGCTAAAACTTAGTCATACGCATCAATTTATTAAGATTTTATTGTTCCTTTTTTGTTGAGGTTCATAGGTGAATGTGACCAAAATGGAAAAAAAGGTAAAAATTATAATAAGTCTAAAATTTAATTTGATAAGATTGAAAAGTTGTAGAGTATAAATTGATTGATCTCGAATAAGGTAGAATTGAACCATTTTCATAAATTTAGAATATTTTGTAATAGTAATTAAAATTGTAGTTATTATAATTTATGCAGATGCAACAAGAAGATTCTTTACATCCAAAAATGAGGCTAAAACCAAGTTTCTACACAAAATAATTCATCATTCCTCTTCCCCAAAAAAAAAAAAAAAAAAACCTTGTCAATGTTGTTGGCATAGTATTTTCAATCTAAGAGACTAGTACTATGGGCAGATTTTTACTGCAGCAGCGCCACTTGTGGTCAAAGTCGGTTTTGGAATGTTGAAAACCGATTTAGACCGACGTCGGTTTTGATCATTCGGATCGGTTTTTTGGGGTTATTTGCTCACCCCTGTTATGGAGTACCGTACTCCCTCCGATTTACACAATAAATAAAAGAAATAGGCCCACATTAATTTTAATCCACCGTTGATATTCCTGTAGTACCAGAAATTTTCCCCCATCTAAGGTGACCAGAGAGACAACCCAACTCCTTTACAGTCTATTTTTCAACGACAAAGTTTTCAACCTTCTCCATTAATGTCAGATGGCACAGGAAGACAGTATTTTAACTCTACTTATTGACGAGGTTAAATGAGGTATGCATGAAAGACGAGCGAAAAATCGATCAATTTAGCTTTAAAAGCTCGAGTGCCTTCTACCCAAGTACTCCGGAACTGCCCAAAACGCAGAAATCACCTCATCATCTGAATCAGTATCGCTGTCTGAGGAATAAATCAGTTCTGAAGAACCATTCAACACATATTCAACAACCTAAAACAAATCGACACGAAATGATTAGTCATAAGAATTTAGCTAACTCTCTAGCTCTACAAGTAATGTTTCGAAAACGACGCAAACTCATGATGTGTCCAAGAATGCTGTCTCAAGATTCTAATAGTACTTCTCAAATATGTGCATAAATAGATTGGTTTCATTGATTTGACCTATAAGCATCAGTCGGTTCAGTTTCGTAGAATATAAAATCAAAATATTCGTCAGTTTGGTTTATCAGTTTCAGTCGATTTCGGTCGGGCAACTGATTCTATTATGAACCATTGGTTTCAGCATCTACTTTCCAGTTTATCTTAAATTGAAACGCTGCCCATTATTCCTATGTGACCAGTAAGTAATAATCACAGAACTTCTGAGTTCTTAAGTTGTAGAGAGAGAGAGAGAGATTCATGTAACTAAACAAAGACAGTCCAAAGGAAAAGCTGACCCGAAAAGACCCTGAAAGTGAACTTGGGAAAAAGGGAGGGTAAAAAAAAAGTACCTGGTTGATTGAGAGAGGCTTGATTTGCTTATTTTTACTTTTACCATGATCGACGGGACATCTCAAGGTGCTGACGAAAACTATTGTGTTACAGTGTTTGCAGTATCCCATTCCATATGTGTTTCTTCTCAAAGAATTACCTAAAATTCCAAATGCCATGGACCATGGTAGCAACAAGAATTAGATGTTATTATGAAATTCAAAAACTATCTTACTGAAAATTTTGTTTTATTAGGAAAGAGAGCTATGGCAGGGAAAATCCACCTATATATGCTCTCTTAAATGCCTCTTTCCAATCAACATGAGGAGGTGTGCTAGCCAAGTCGTCCACACCGCCTTTGTTGTTAATGAGTTTAGCACTGTCATCAGAACCGAAAAATGTTGTATACTGCAACTGCCATAGAAATTCGTCATCTGCTGCTACATTCCATGACCTTCACATTGAGTATATAACAACCGTTATCTTAAAAGGAAATGGTCGCCGTATAAGGCTAATAAACTAAGTGTCTAACAACATACAGAGAGTAGTGCTTAGAACTCATAGTTGAATAGTAGAGCTTTAAGCTAAGCACACACTTTGTTGATTAGACAAGGATATTTCATGTCATGTGGTCTTAGACAGAAAATTACCGGCAGACTAGTCCAGCAGAGACTAAAGATTCGATATCTAGAAAGCGGAAGATGTGGAGGAGTACATCTTGAGGCAGTTGAGCGGAACCTAAAAATATTTATGAGAAAGAAATCAAATTGTGTTGCCAAACATAAAGATGAAAATTTGAAAGTTAAAATACAAGTGTGGACTCTTAACTCTCAAATTTGTATCTAGTAGGTCTCTAAATTATAAAAAGTATCCATCAGGTAAGACCTTTGAAAAGGGTCTAATAAGTTCTTAAACATTTTATTTATGATTTTTTTTCCCCAATAAGCTCATGAATTTAAAAAGTGTTTAATATACTCATTGACATAAAATTGAAAGTTCAAGAATCTATTAGACACTTTTTAAAATTTGGAGACCTATTAGACACAATATTAAAAGTTTAGTGACCTATTAGACATAGCTATAAAAGTTCATGAACCAAATGTGTAATTTATCCAAACTTAAATCTTGTTCGATTTGATTTATGAATAGCAAAATATACCAGAAAGAAGGGAAAAGTTAAATCATTCTTACAAGCGATTCACCTTTTTCTTCCTGATGTGCTTTACTACGCCTCTTATGAGCAACCATTGCTTTCTTGAATTCTACGATTGCTGAATTTCTCTTTTTCTTAGGCCAAGCAGCTTCAACACCCTGAGCAAGGAGATGTGCAGCCGAAACAGCAGAGCTCATCTGCATTCTTTTAATCAGAACATTTCATATGAAGCTTCCCGTATTCAAATAAGCATCAAAGGAGTGTAGGCAAATTAGAGAGAGGATGGAACAAAAATTATTAATAGTAATCTTGCTTAGTTTCAATGCCATAAAATGGAATCAACGGCGTAGACAACCGCATTCTCATATAAACGATAGATCGACTACTTTGTGTATCCTCTTTAACAAATTGATGTATGATAGATAAATCTATAGTAGTCTTCAATTAACATGGACAATGAATGCTTGGATTGTGGAACATTAAGACATTCAATTGAATGTTGAATCCAACCCATAAAAGAACTAAACTGTTTCATAAAATCAACCAGGCACAGGCAAGGGATTTAAGAAGCAAACATTCAAAGGGTTCATAACAATTCCTAATTTGATCCAAATATGGAGAATTGAAACCGACGAACTGGAGACAAAGTATATGGGTAATCAACATATGAGTTCTAAAATTGAATATGAAAAGAAGGGAAGAAACACAAAAACTTACTCGGGAAGGAGATGAAAGGCGGTGATGATATCTTGGTAGATGAGGGATTGGAGATTCTTGGGAAGTTTATTGAAAGCAGCTCTGATAATGAAGCTTAGCTCCTTACAGGCTAATGGGTAGCGATAACTCTTCGCCAGAGAATCTCTTAGGGCAAGCTTCCGGTACCTCTCTAATGGATCCGACATTCCGAAATGGAAAACCAAAAACGACGATGAAGCGCACAACTGCGAACTGGGAGAAAATTAATCAATTATTGTTCTGCTAATATCCATCCATGATTAAATTAGGCTACATTACAAATTTACAACCAAAAGAAAGAAAGAAAAAAATAATAATAATAAACCCTCCAAATTTGTCATGTGTTTCATAATTACTTTCGAAAGTTTCCTTACGATATTTTATAACATTTCAAGGATACTTTCGAACAAATCCATCTTAATATTTTGAGCCAAAAGTTGAAGTTATGGATGAAAATGGGAAAAACATGGAAGAAATTATGTTAGGAGAAAATTAGATAGATAATACAGAAGTAAACTCTCCTGACAATAGAAGAATAAGACTTTCACATGGTTCTAAATTCTAGAACTTTAATTTTCTATTCAAAATATTAACTTATGTTCGAAGGATATTTTTTAAAGATTTAGAAATGTTAAAAATAATATTGAAACGATAGGAACGATAATTTTTTTTTTTTGAAAAACATGAAAAAATTTAAGTGTATTTTTTAATTTAGAGTCAAGATTATTTATTATATGGATTTTGGATCTTGAGATAAAAGACGAAGGCTAATGTATATAAAGTTGTACAAGTGAATACTCGAACTCACGTCAGTTGGTAAATTGACCTAAGCTCTTGTGTTAGAGCCCGACTCCTACATCTTTTTCCTTTTGGGACGGTACTCCGAGCAGTGGGTACCTAGTAAGATCTTGACCCGCCTATAAAGATATTCTCTAACTGTCAAGGTGAGGTTGATCTCCATTTAATTTTTAGTAGACTAAGCTATGCCTCCCTCCCCGTCAAAACTCTCATCTTGAGTGAATGGAAATTGGTTGGGTAGTTTTTATTGAAGAACACTCTCCACTCCCCTACATAAATCTTACGGGAAAACGGTGAGGGGTTTTCTAGATGGAAATAGGCATGGGGAAAACGGTGAGAGGTTTTCTAGATGGAAATAGGCATGGGCATGTAAAGACCTTCTTTATTAGACAAATTTGAAAACTTTTTCTAGGAATAACTTATTCTCCGGCATCCTCTCCAATTTCATGAATTTGTCAATGGACTTTGTGTCAGACTCTTATCTCTCTTCTTTTCAATAATTTTTTTTAATGTAATTATTTACTTTATTTTATTTGACTTGATTAGTTAAAATTTTAAATTAACAACATTAAAATTTTAACAATAATGTACTAAATTAATTATTCTATTGTGATAAATTAATTTATTAAAATATATACTATTTTTTTTTTATAAAAAGTATAATTAATTGATGTCATTAATGAGATGAAAATGATTAATCTTGTTAAATACATAAAGTGATAATTATTAAGCGACATAAATTTTAGATAATTACTGCATTAATTTAATTAATAAAATATTTATCTATTTTCAATAAATTAACGAATTTAAATTATATATACATTATAAAAATGATTTTATTGTTTCCGACATTTCTACACAATTTTGAAAATATTTTCAGAAAATGAAGAACGAAAAACGTGAACCGTTACAAAATATTTATCATTTTAAGAAAATTAAAAACAAGAAATATGAAACGGAACGTCGGTAAACAATACTCTTTAACTTATTTCTTCCTCCCATGGTTTTCTTTCAAGTAATCAACTACTTTTTTCACATTCATAGTACAATTTTGTAAATAAAAAATTAAGGACTCTGTTCTCACTTCTAATTGTATTAAGAAACCTAAACATTTTGCAACTAATTATGTTTCTTGTTTCTTATTTTTTAAGAAACATTCTCAAAATTATATAGAAAATTTGAGAACAATCCAAATAAATTTTTTGTTCCTTATTTCCATTTCCAATTTGTTATAAAACATAAATGTAAATTTTTTTTACCATCCTTAAATTTATGTGTATTGAGACCATACAATTTTATTTTTTTAATTAAAAATGAGGAATCAGAAGCGGAAACGTTACCAATGAACTCTAAATTACAGTAATGGTACAATATCTTTTAATGTATTACAATAATGGTTGTTATATATCTCGATGAACAACGCACAAAATCATCACATACATACAATGGCATATCTAAAATTTTTTGTATGAAGGGCACAAATTTATATAAATAGGCTAAATATATAAGAAGGTATATAATTTTTTAGACAATTCTCAATTTGATTGTCAATCTTTTAAATTCTTACTTTTACTCTGTGCTAAAAAAAAAAAAAAAATCTTACTCCTACTCTTAATGAATTAGAAAATCTCAATCAGGTAATTTTCACATAAAAATTTGTTACAATTTGTTAAAAAAAAGAGTTGATAAATAAATTAATATTTTGTAGATATATTTGAATAAATGAACATGCAGCTCGAATGTATATGAAGTCCGACCAGTCCATCAACAAAATCTATCTACAAATTAACAAAATTCATTTTCTCTAAGTGACATGTCTTTATCTATATATATATTTTTCCTTTTATACAATATGTGAGGCGGAAAGTTGAACTCACGATCTTAAAGATAGGTGCTTGAACTAGTGAGTTATGTTTAGATTGACTTTTTTTTTTAATAGCATGTCACGTATCTAAATATGTTAATCAAATACTAATTCATTGTTACATGAACTTTTATGTTAAAAGAAATTTTAACAAAATTTGGTGAGCAAGTAAGGACCATAATTGAGAATTTTTACTACATTGGAGATAAATTTGAGAATCTTAAAAAAATAAACAACCAAATAAAAAAAGAAAAAACTCGAATACTAGAGACCATGGGTATAAATAAAATTTTTTATGCATTGATATAAAATATTCTTATAAAGTAATAATAATTACTTGTTTTCTTCTAATGAAAAAGATAGAATAGTGGTTACTGACGGTTTGATGACGGTTCCTTGGATAACACTTCCATTTCTTGTTTATCGTCTCTAATTTTCTTAAGAAATCTAAGCATTTTGCAACTAATTACGTTTCTTATTTATCCTTTTTTGGTAACTTCTCAAAATTGTATAGAAATTTTAGAAACAACTAAAACAAATTTCTTATTTTTTGTTCTCATTTATAATTTATTCCAAAATACAAATAGAAATATTATTTTATCATACTTGAATTCATGGACGTTGAAGTCATGCAATCTATTTTTCTTTATTAAAAATAAAAAACAGAAACGTTACTAAACGAGCTCTAAATATCTCGTTTCAATTTGGATTTGTTCTTCCAAATTTGGAAGTCGACAGCAATACATGCCTTTGAAAAAAGGAAAAATAGATGGAGGAAGAGGAGAAAAAAAAGAGAGAGAAAATAAAATTTCACTCTTAGTTATTCCATCTGTTCATACTATACTTTTTTATTTATAAATAATTTTTTAATGTTGGTAGATTCCACGTCATTTTCAAATAATGCTGACGTAGCATACAATAAATGACATGATATAATCATTACAATAATAATAATATTAATATAATTTGTCAAGTTAACCATCTTAAAGTAGTTACATGTCATTATTTAGGTTAAGATCAAATGACTCTATAAACCCTTTTTAGAATCATTTTTCAAACTTTCAAACTTTAAAACTATGTACTTGGTTCTAAGCTAAAGCTCGACAAGAGTGTTTTGTCCTTTATTTTAGGTTGCAAAACTTTTCATGGCGGATACTTTTTTATCCAAAATCAATTCCAACACACCTTTAATTTTTAAACTTTAATTTGTAACGGTTCTTTTATATTCAAATGGTAACAATTTAGTCTCTAATTTCTAATATGCAGCAATTTAATCTCCATAGTTTAAAATTTGTAATAATTTAGTCCTACGGTAAAAAATCTTATAAAATTTTGGTGTCAACTTTTATTACATAATAAAATTTTTAAGTTTATTACAATATTTAATATAAATATATATATATAAAATTATGCTAAAGCTAGTATAGGTCACGGCCGACTTAAGCTACCGCGTAAGGTCTCATTCTAAGAATACCTCATATTTCTATTTAATTTAGTTTTCCATTATAAATTAAATTTAAAATAATTAAATTTCATAATTTTTTATAATATTGAAAATACATAAAAAAAAATCTACAATTAATAACTTCATAAATTTATCTCAATTTTAATTGACTTATATTTCAAATTTCTTAAGATCTTTTTATACATTCCTTTCAAATTTCCTTACAAGTCTCAACCCATTTAAGGTGGGGGAGGGGGAGACCTTCGTATTTCTTTATCTTTTTATTTATTTTTTTTCACAACAAAAATTTTTAAACTTATCTAAAAAAACTTCATAAATATATTACTTATGTGGTCTCAAAAGATTATCAATTACTAGAATAGAAATCACTTCAAAGTTTCAGGTATTTTATTCAAATTCTCTTACTTTTTTTTTCCATAAATTATTTCATATTTTTGATGGCTCAATACCTAATATCTGATATTTGTTTGGATTTGCTTACTTAGAATATCAATACGACTCCAAAGAAAATATGAATATAAAGATGAAAAGCTAAAAGAAAAGAAAGGTAGAAAAAAATTAAACTTCAAAAAGCTACTCTCGATAAATTTGTAATTGGGAGTAAAAGTAATAAAAATAACGAAATAATAGAAGAAATGATAAGTGTAGACAAATCAACAGATGAACTTTTCAAAATTAAAATTAATTGTATTTAAGGCGAGCTATGCCACAGGAAAGATTAAATGAATTGGTCATATAATACATAATTTTTCATCTCAAAAAGTAAGAAAAATAATTTAGACGATATTTTTCGTATTAAGTTCTCTCAATCAAAATTTTGCCTAAGGTCTTGTATAATCTCGAGTTCTATAGATCATTGATAATTGACATATATCTTCAATGATCCTCCACTCTAAATGTACTAAAACAAATTCTACTAAATTTTTACCATTTTTAAATTATAGAGATTAAATTGTTATATATTAAAGTTAGAACGACTAAATCCGCAGGAAATTTTTGTAAATTAAAAAGTGTAACCTATTTAAGTTATTGTTTTGCAAAGAAAAAAAATTATGCCCTAGTTGTATAGTCTTCCCCTCCCCGCCTCCGTTCTCAGATTCAATCTTCAGTTCAGCATCTCAGGTACACAGTACCACCAATTCAAGCTTCAGCCGGCATCGCCACCGTTCGCCGCCGTACCTCGCACTATTCCGGTCACTTTCTCCCCTCAATTTCTCACCCACCCTCGCCTCTCAGCGTCGCAGGTGTGCAGCCCTTTGCCCCCTTGGATTATAATCTTCGGTTTCTTCGTTTGTGCTGCCATTGACACCGGGGACGATTGATTTTCAATCCATGCTTTCTGCAAGTTTTATTTTTCGGAGAGTTCTGTTTTTCATTTGATAATGGTTGATTGCTTGATTGGAGTATTGTTCTTATCGTCTGCATTCGAATTTTATCCGTTATGGGCTGAAACTGAACGAGGATAGACAATTTTCGTCCTTTTGGTTCATATTCTATTTCTGCCTTCTTAAATTTAATCGGTATCAATGTTTTGGCCGTTGCTTGTTGTAGATTATCGTTTATATGATATATTTTCCTATTAATTTGGAACATGTAGTTTGTTGTGCTGAATTATCTGTATTGAATTTTCTTATTAGAACTAGCTTTTCAAATATTTTTAATTCGTCTTAAATTGCAATTGATGATTGTTTTTTGTCGACTGATACTGGGGAGGATTGATTTTCAATTCATGCTTTCTGCAAGTTTGATTTTTATGGGGCGTCCTGTTTTCACTTGATGTCGAAAAAGGTTGATTACTTAACTGGAGTATTATTGTTTAATTTGCACCTGTATTTGATTTGGTATGAAGCCTATGAAATTCGGATTTTGGGTAACATGTTCAAACCTAATTTTTGCTGTTTGTTGGGTATAGTTTCAGACTTCTTGCTAGCATCAAATAGAAGAGCTGATCTTACCCCACATGCTATTCTTGGCTCAATTTTTCCCGTTTGTTACAATATGTTATGTTGGGCTATTCTATTGTAGAATAAATTTTGGTAAAAGTCTAAATTCTGTATTCTGTGGTTTTGTATGTGGTGGTGGAGATTTATGCTTTCATTGTACTGCCTATCATGTTGATGGGGTTTTTTTATCTATCTCATCTTTCACTCAAATATTGCTTATATTTCGTTGTTTAATGGTAGTTCTTTGGGTTTTTACAGGGTGGAGCTCAGCACAACTCCAAAATGCAGTCTACTGAAGCCCCCACTTCCATGGAAGTAGAAGCCATGTCAACTAAACCGATAACCGAAGTTGGCACCTTGCCACCAAAACCACAGTTTGATCCTCTAAAGCCTCATGAGATGAATGATGGCCGAGTTCAGTTCCGGAAGGTGTCTGTTCCTCCGCATCGCTATTCTCCTCTCAAGAAAGCATGGATGGAGATTTACACCCCAGTATATGAGCAGATGAAAATTGACATCCGTATGAACCTCAAGGCTCGTAAAGTTGAACTGAAAACCAGAGAAGACACGCCCGACATCAGTAACTTGCAAAAATGTGCAGATTTTGTCCATGCCTTCATGCTTGGTTTTGACATAATCGATGCAATTGCACTCTTACGAGTTGATGAACTCTACGTCGAATCTTTTGAGATTAAGGATGTTAAAACACTTCGAGGTGAACACTTATCTCGTGCCATAGGCAGATTGTCTGGTAAAGCTGGTAAAACAAAGTTTGCGATCGAAAATGCTACAAAGACGAGGATAGTTATTGCAGACACCAAGATTCACATATTAGGATCCTTTGCCAACATCAAGATTGCTAGAGATTCTCTTTGCAGCCTCATTTTAGGTTCCCCTGCAGGAAAAGTTTATTCAAAACTAAGAGCAGTTACAGCCAGATTGGCTGAAAGGTTTTGATCTTTTATCCCTTTTGCATACTAGTTATTTGAGGAAGAATGCAACTTTATTGAAATGCTTATGCAATTAAAGTTTTGCCCTAGACACCAATTGTTAATCGATCCATGTTCACAAAATGAATAGAAGATGATCGGTGTTTGCTGCTGTTGTCTTCCTAAGTCGAGATCAATATTGACTGAACTGAAGTAACTTTGATATCTGTTACAGTCGAAATGTGTACTATCATCTTATGGTAATATCTGAGGGGTTTTGTTCATCCTTTGATATCAATCTCTCTTACATCTATGAATATTTCTTGATTCCCATTACCATGCGAGGTTATGTTGTGATGGAAACATAACCAGTGGAATGAAATCAACTCTTTTTCTTGGGCATTGGAGAAATTGAATATGGTGAAAGGCTAAGGGATTGTTTATGGTTGAGGCTTATTATTATTATTATTATTATTATTATTATTATTATTATCATCTCTTATTTTTGTTGATTTTATTCACAAGTGTTTTAAAATTCTTAATCTCAAAATCAGTTTCAGAGTGATACATTTTCTTATTCAAAAAATACCAAATATAAAGAAGAGTGAGACAAATATTTAACCTTTAACGATTCATTCATACAAAACAGTACTTTTTAAAATATACATCAATATTATGTTATTATTATTATTATTTTTATATATACCACCATTATCTTATTCAATTTCAATATTATAAATTGAAGTTTCAAACATTTATAGTGTCAACTAAAAAAAGGCAGCTCAAATAATCTATGATACACTCGCTACAACCTTTATAGTTTGAATACATAAAATTACACATAAATGATGTACAAATCCTATTGTATCTTCCCACAGTCTAAAATAAATCAAACAAATCTGACTATTTGCTCCACATTTTCACAGTACATTATGCATTCTCAGATGTCGTGCACTAAGAATTCATTGATAACATCGTGATTACAATCTTTAACGAGATGAGGTAAACGATTTGACTTCAACAATGGCCTAAGAATTCATTCATAACCATTTTTTAACCATACGACTCGAAACAAATGACAGACAGGACTGGAATGATATCGATATCGCATAATTTGGCGACGAAACATGCCCCCTAGTTTGCCTCGTTGCAAGATCTTAAAGCTAGAAGAGTTACCATCAGATGTCATGACTTTGCACCCGAAAGGAATCACACTTTTCCATGAACGTTCACGTCCGCTCGCTCTTGCTCATACGTGTTTAAGATAACAAGCTTGCTTCTACATTCTATAGGAAGTAAGTAAGCTGTTGCTTTTTTCTTGAACCTCCCTCTCCATACAAATCATTCCATTGCTTCAACTCATTCATCACTGATCCTTCTGAAGCAAAACTTGCAGCAACCTGCATTACATTACATTACATTACACGCATTAATTAACTACACCGAACCCAAATATTCACCTGATTAATCTTTTGACACCCACGAGAGAGATTGATCTTTATGAACTGAATAAGAAGTCAGAAATAAAGTATACCCTCATCTCAAAATGAAGGGAAGCACAGATATTCACCTGATTCTTTGCCTGCCTCATATCATCCATATTTAAAGACCTCAGAATGATCACTTGTTCCTCTTTTTCTTCCTCTCTCGTATCTGAAACGTCTTCCGAACTATTTTCCTTCTCCTCTTTCTCCTGCTCTTTCTCCTTATCTTTCTCCTTCTCCTTCTCCTTCTCCTCTTTCTCCTCTTTCTCCTCCTTCTCCTTCTCCTCTTTCTCCTTCTCTTTCTCCTTCTCCTCTTTCTCCTTCTCTTTCTCCTTCTCCTCTCTCTCTCTCTGCTTCTTTTCCTAAAACAGATGGAAGTTACAGAAGTTTATTTGCAGGACTTTGATGGTAAACATTTCATGTTATACAAGAAATGATAAGGTAGAGGAATAGCTCAATGGAAGTTACCAAATCTTTCGATCTTTCTTGTTGCAACAGCTCCCGAACAGGCCGATAAGCTGCGGTCACGCACAAATTCTGTTGTGGGAAGTAAAGGTCATGAGCTGATTAATGAAACTAAGCAATTAATTCATGGAGTATTATATATTAGAGGACACACCTTGAGATCACTTCCACTGTATCCTTCCGTCATAGTTGCGAGCTCCTTGAAATCAAGATCTTCAGCCTTTTCCTTTGATAGAAGTGTTCTCAAGATCGATTCCCTGCTCTCAATTGATGGAAGACCCACCATAATTCTGCTTAACGGAATAGATCGAGATATTAGAAAACGAGTTTCCAGTAGTCGACAGTTAATTCTTGAAGAACCTATCTTCACTATAATTTTAACAAGGAGCTCGGAAAGTAGTGAAGGAACATAAAACTAGGCCGGGATAAAATATGATATTTTTACCTGCGCTCGAACCGCCTAATGATTGCTTCATCGAGGTCAAATGGTCTGTTGGTTGCAGCAAGAACTAGTATTCGCTCATCGTTTCTAGTCAGCAGTCCATCCCAGTGTGTCATGAATTCGTTTTTAATCTTCCGCATTGCCTCATGCTCACCCACTCTAGTCCGCTGCCCGAGCATGCTATCAACTTCATCCACAAAAATAATTGTAGGCGAGACCTTTGCTGCGAGTGTAAACAATGCCCGGACGTTCTTTTCGTCTTCCCCAAACCATTTAGAAGTGATTGTGGACATTGAAACATTGATGAAACTTGCTCCAGCTTCATTAGCAATGGCCTTTGCCAGCATTGTTTTACCCGTTCCAGGAGGGCCGAAAAGCAAAATGCCCCTACAAGGTTTAAGAAGCCCGCCCTTAAAGAGGTCCGGTCTTCGAAGAGGAAGCATGACTAATTCCTGTAAAGACTCTTTGATCTCATCCATTGCACCAATGTCTGCAAATGTCACCCCAATCTCACTTGCGGGGATAACTTCTGGTCTTATACGCTTTTCAAATTCATTGTCTGGCGGGATTTCCTATAGGAGGTATACAAGAATGAAAACAATGAGATGGAAGAAGAGCCAACGTTGACCATAAAAACTGAAAATTTAGTGAGAGAATTACTCAAGAGTACAGAAGTTGAAACCTCAATTCCAAAAACAAAGACTAGAACCAACAATAAGGACACGATGTTCAAATAGAACACATAAAAACGACATTTGATTCAATATATTGCGGACACGATACAGGGGTCTACAACTTACGAACATGTTTTGCCGGTGATGGAGAAAAAAAATGGTAATCCATGAGGTATTAAAAAGTTACGTTCGAAAAAAATAGTGCCTCTGCCTAGGTTTCACCTTCATTAAAGAGTTCAACTTACAGGTGCTTTTTGTGGAGGCACATTCTCAACATCTTTCTTCACTATAGGAACAGATTTCTCTGCCTCGCTTCTGTTTTCTGCAGCTGGATTTTCAGATTTAGATTCAGTTTTTGCACCAACAGCTTCGTCCCCTTGCGCTTCCTGCAAAATAAGTAGAAAATACTCCCTGAAAATTCATTTGACAACATAATTCACTACTAGATTATTAAAAATTATATTAATAAGCAAAAATAATTACAAAGATACAGTTTTTACGAAGTACATTATTGATATGGAAATCAGACCTTCGATGATTCTGCATTTGTCTCTAGCTTTAGAGTGCCTTTTCCTTCATTATTTCCTTCCTGGAATATACTCAATCCATGGGATAAACTGCTCCAGAACCAGATTTGATTAATATTTATAAATACAGGCATCATCCGTGGCTGCTCTCTCTCTCTCTCTCTTTAAGGAATGTGGTGCATACCTCTTGGATGGTATCAAAAGTTTTCCATTTCGATATTCTGGATCTGGGTTGTTCATCAAATGATAAGATATTGCAGACACGACAATTTCTTCAATATAATTACTGAGAACAATGGTGTCTGCATGGCAGATTGAACCGAGATCATCACATTCGAGATCATTTGCAGCAAGTACTTCAGCAATGTGGTTTTTATTATCTTGGAACTGAATAATCTTCATGTCCTCTTCCAATTGAGCTTTCCAGCTGACAAGATGATTCTCATCTTCAGGGGGTCGAATTTCAACACTATACCGGAACAAATTGGTCAGTCTATCGTCAATATCTCCACAATCGTTTTCCAAGTCTGCCACTCGGGAACCAAGTACTAGAACTGATCCTGAGAGCTTGTCCAAAAATCTATGGAACATATTGTACAGCCTCTGTGACTGAAGAAGAAGTCTCTCAACATCTCTCAGATATAAAATTATGGAACCATTTTCCGATACCGACACCAAGACCTGTAAGATTTGAATGATTAGACAAATTTTCAGGCCATTTTACAAACTTCACTAAAAAGAAAAGAACATCTGCATCAGCCATGCATCCATGGAAGAAGAGGTATATATCAATGATCAAACAGCTCATAAGTTGATTACCTTATAAAGCGACTGAAGAAAAAGTTTCTCATCAAAACACCAACTACTTGTGCGCTTGACAGAAGCTGAAAGAGACCAAAATCACAAGCAAAATCAGAAATTATGATCCAAAGCTTCTTCTTGATTTCAAAGTAAGGGTGTCATTGATTTTAGAATTGGGTTTAGCTAAATTCAAGCAAAATAGGTATTAATAAACGTCTCTTCATCACTGACTTCTGCACAATTTGCATGAATATATCATTGAGCAACAAGGAGTAGTTAAAGAATTTCATTTCAAAATTTATTTGGATTTTGGATTTAACCTGGATTTGTTGAGGCACAGTTTGATGAGACACTACTAATATCAGACGCAGCAGAAGCATTTCTACGAAGTTTTGGAAGATTAGACGAGCCATCGGTGCTTCTGAAGATTAATTAAAAAAAAAGACCCCGGTTAGAAATTAGAACATGTTGTGCAATCTGTGTGATACCTCCTATGTGGTTATTGATCATATCGCAACTAGAGAACCTGGTTATGTTATGATAAAACACTGAATATTCTACCTTGATTGGATGTCTGTAGTACTGCTTTGCCTTCTTAAATTGCCTATAAGAAAAAATGGGAATGAGAATATGAGAAAAACACATTAATGCATGCAGAAAGAAGAAATGATCAACAACTACAATTTTTGCTATTGAACTTCTAAAGAACAGCTACAATGGGATTTTCTGTTCCCCAGCTTCATTGACATTATAAATCAATCAGAATAACCTTAAAAATATCCATTAAAGATAAGTAATTTATGTATATTTGAATAAGAACACAGAACTCAAGAGTTTTAAAAAATTCAAATAGATGAGCATATTTATCAGGTGTAAAGGGAAAATGATAAGAGATCTTAAGTGTGCAGAGAAAGAACCATTTTTCGAAAAGACAGAAATAACTTGTCAAATGTCTGAGGAACATTTGTCCTGGATAAGGAAAAATATTTCATGTTTTTCTTACCCCTAGTATTTCCACTTGTAGGAAGAATCCCAAAGGAACCTAAAACGCTAGACATTCGCTCGAACGTCACTTCAGAGATGGACCTCTTGAATGACTGCAAAAGTAAACAAAAAAATGAGGAAAAACTCCTGGTCCTCCTCAAGCTATAGGTTTTTGTTTAGTTCAAGTGATCTACAAATTTTTTTTTTAAGTTCTCTAAATAGTAAACGTACTCACATCAGATAGTACCACTATTTAACTTTTAACTAGTTCACGTTTACAATACTTGCATTCTAAAAATATGATAATTATTTGTGGAAAAAAAAGAAAGAAAGAAAGAAAGAACATTTAATTTTCTCACTGTTGGCAGTAAGAACTTACATATTCTTTCTTGGCACATCCATATTTGCTTTGCATCTGCAGTAAGTTAAATATAGCTGATGTAAGTTTCATTCTGCCACAAACTAAAACAGAAATGATAACTTAAATGTAGATAAGATACCTTTAAAGAAAAGTCAGAAACATCTAACAACAGCAACTTCGATTTGAAGTGATGCGCCAGTGCCTTGGCGAGCATTTGCTGGTAAGGTTCTTTATTGAAAAAAAATTGCAACCAGTTTACATCACATACCGTGCTCTGAAAAGTATTGTTTTTCTACAAGGTACTTGGGGTGAAAGTATCATAATTCATACCTGTCGGTCCTGAGAGCAAAATGGCCCGACTTGCTGGCGTTAGATTTCTGGTGTGCTTGGAGATGTCGCAGTGCTTTAGATGAACATATGCAGCACTCATCAAAAGCACCCGAGTCCTCCCGCTATGATTACCATCAGAGAAAGAACAGTTTAGAGTAGAACATGAAAATATGACTAGTAATATTCAGCCAAGAACTGAAACTGCAGTGCAGATAAGAATGTTGTAGTGTCAAAGGAACCATAGAAGAGCGTAGATGAAATAATCTAAAAAATCGAATTATAACAAGTTATTATATGATTTGTAGTGTAACAAAAAAACATTAAGCACGAGTAAATAAAAAAGTTTTGGATCATAATTCAATCAAAGAACTTCTTCAATCGAAATATAGCTACTACATCAAAACTAGGCCCAAAGATCAACCATATTGAGCTTTCACTATTTCTTGTATGTATTAGGTCTTATCCACACAAGAAACGAAGAACATTACAGAAGGCCTCCTTTAAAAAACATTCACCATCTAGGCAATCAAGCCTTTTCATAATGATCCCATGATCAAGTCGTAAATAGTAAACATATTTGCAGTCAGAATGCACTATAAAAAGAGAACTAAGGATTTCTTAATCCACAGGCATAAAACCACATAGAGAACAAACATGAACTCTTTTCATATTTGGTAGAAGAACCTAGTTATTACTAAATAAAAGACTGCAAAACCATGGGAATAAAGAAAACTAATGGAAAAAATGGAAGACAAAAAAGATCACTGGATCAAAAAGCATAAACTAAAAAGTACAAATATATTGACATCGAACGTCAAAAATTGATTCGTTATTGTATTTCTGATGAAGTTCTTCATTTACTTTTATGCATTAAACAGAAAAATAGTTATAGTTGGAAAAATTGCAGGCAACAAAATTCAAAAGAAATTTCCACAAGAAGTTGATGCATCAGCTTGGACTTTGAAATAGGCAAAGCACAGACATGATCATCTCTAAGCTCCTCATCTCATCACCTCTTCCATTCACCAAAGGTAAAAGAATCCACAGTGGATCATGTTGTTCGAGCCGCACTTTGTGCATCATTCTAAACAAAGTTTTTACCATGAACTCTAATTTCTAGGAACTGATATGTAACTCAGATTCTATGTCCTGATGAATTAATAAGGACTAAGGGAGAGAAGAACTATTCTGGACGCCTCAAGATTACAAATAACAAACATCTCTAGGATCAAATACATAAACAATCTGGCTTAAACCAAAATCAGAAAGCAAGAAAACTTTTCAGCCAACCTGTTCACTAACAGGAAAAAGAAAGATGTTCATATGACCACCATCGTATAACAACATAAGACCAGAAAAGATCATAGGAGAAAGGATCACATGATTACCATAGATAATAAGGAAACTCATCAAAAGTTACATTGCTGTTTTTGCCATCAAGCAGCTGCCTCATCAGCTCCAGCTCAATCGTCTGCCCTGAAATCTCATCAGAATATCCATTCCCTCCGACCCATTTCCCAACGGCTTGGCCAGAGCTCAATCCAAGGCCCACCCCAACTCCAACCCCCACACCCAAAGCAGACAGAAAAATGTGTTTCTGTTCCATCACCACCACAAAATTTCCTTTTCTTCCCTTCCAAACAACTAAAAAGAAACTCAAAAAACTTCACCCACAAACCCGATCCTGAATCAGCTTCAAACCCAACAACAACCCCACCATCTATTTGGTATCTGAAGATGATCCATTAAGAACTTACAAGAATTTGGGTCGAATATTCCTCAAGAGAGGGAATGATTGGAGGGGTTCAAGAGGGTATTTGCAGAAAGAGAGAGAGGGAATCAAGGGAATGCGTTGGTGGGATTTTTTTTTGGGGGAAAAACAGAGAAAAATATTGTAATTTGTGAGTCCGGAGACGACGTTGGTCGGAGGGTGTTGACAGGTTATGAGTACAAAGAGCTATATATAGCATGGGCTGTCCTGTAATGGTGGACGTTAAATTAAATTCATTCCCCCTTTTTTACAAAACCAAAATAGGAAAAAAAGCTTACTTCCCTAAGCTTCTTTTGACTTGCCTTCTCCTCTCTCCCCATTTCATCACCAAGCCATGGCCTAAGCCTGCTGCAACTTTTTCTCATTTCCCACTTTCATTTCCTCAAAAAAGAGAGAAAAAAAAGGACCGTTCTTCTCCTTGGCTTGCTTCTGCTTTCCTTGAGCCTTTTTTATTTTCTCTTTTGTGCATATGTATCATATAATATAATATGTGTAGCCTTTGCCTACCCACCAAGTCTTTGGAAAAAGAGGAATAAAAAGTCTATTGGAAAGTATACATTGTCCAAAAGAAATCTATGTGGATTTTACCTTTTCTCTTTCTTTTTCCCTTCAAAAGTTAAAATCTTTTTTGTGTTACGCACACTGTGCTTTTCTTTTTTTTCTTTCTCCTTCTTCTTTGTTGGGTTTTCGTATTTGGTCATTTTTGGTTTTAATCTTCATGGGGTAGCTTATATTATCAACTCTAATCTTTGTGCTTCACAAGTTTTTTTTATTATTATTATTTGACATATTGGTCATTGTAGTGTTATTTCAAGTACACAAAATAAATGTTTTTTTTTACTATTTAGTTTTATGTAATGATCAGTTCCTTGATGCTAAATGGTAATTTAAACCTGTGAATGAATAAATAGATTTGGTTTTAGATGATTAGAGGTATGTAGGCTTTATATGTCATCATCCTTGGGTTATTTTCCACTAAAATTAAAATTTTAATACGCAAAAGTTTAATTGTTACTCTTCCAAAGTATGAGGATGAAAATCAAAATATTGTAATTCGTAAGAATCAAACTACAAAGTAATCTATGTTCTCAAAAAAATACGTTAGTCTTTCATGTGATGTCATGTCAACTTCGAACCTAATTTTTATTAATTTAATACAATAATAAAAATTAAATTGAAACATTCCAAAATACAAAGATTGAAATATTAAAATTTACGGCTAAAAATTAAATTTGTATTATATAGCTAAGAGGTTAAGACATTTTTAGTTATTCCCCAAAGTTCAAAGCTTTACTCTAATAACTGAGTTGCAATATTATAAAATAAATGTCTAATCCTGTTTTGATTCTTGTATTTTTGACTTTGGTTATTTTTTGTCCCTATATTTTCAAAACATTGATTTTGGTGTTGTAACTTTTTTTAGTTCTTGTACTTGCAAAACATCTATTATGGTTACTGTATTTTTTTAAAAAATGACCAATTTGGTCCATATTCGTAAAATTTTAACATAAAACTTATACACAATAAAAAACTTTTAATACAAATTTATGACTATACTTCAAGAATTTTAGTGGATAAAATATCATACTAAAACTAAAACCAAAAGAAATGATATGAAAATGAAAATTCACTGAATCAAAAGGGTCACTTTTAAAATATACAGAGACTAAAATAGATGTTTTAAAAGTACATAGACTAAAATGAATAAAAAATATAGAATTAAAATAGATATTTTGTAAGTAAGGATGTATTTAAACTTTTAAAAAATATACTTCAAATCCTCTTAGATTCTACAATTGTTTATATTATTAAAATTGCGTATTTAATAAATTTTCTACTCACCAAAAAAAGCGTATATAATATCGAAATTAATAGGGAAAAAAAAAGAAAAAAGAATCCCATTCCCATGGAAGTTTGTAAATTAGTCACGTGCCGATTTCACCGTGGTCCGGGCCGCACTTGATTTTCCCTGAAAAAGAAAGTTATATTTTCTTCTCCATCCTCTCGCCTCAGAACTTTTTTTTAATATTACAAAAAATAAACATAATTATTAAAATAATACCAACTACACACTAAAATTATAAATATTACAATTTTATTGTTTCGTGCATTTATCATCATCGTTCAAGAGACGATATTCAACCTCCTAGAAACGACTTCCAATTGAGACCATATACAACATATGACATACACAACCTCTTAGAGACCGACGAGTATGAACTAAAATGTTCTGGTATTGACTCTAGAACAAATCACTCATTCAAGCATCGAACGGTTACAGATAGTCTTCGACTTTCACATCCAAACAATAGTGAGCTCACCTAATGGAAATCAAAAAGGCAAAAATGGAAGGAAACTATATTCATGGTGTCAAGTGAGACAAGAACATAAAAGAAACTCTGTATTAATAATTTTACCATTTTAATTTTGTAATTTTTCTTATCTAAGGTTTTCTATTTTGGCCAATATGTAGCATTGAGTTCTTAATTTTAAGTATTTATTTAAAATTAATTATCTCGCTTCATTCGAGGGTAATAAGTCTTTTAGGTTCCCTCTAAAGGGTTTTTAATGATGTGAACAAAACGGATTACAAAATAAATTTTAACTGTGTTTAGTTTGATAGCTGTAAATTCATCGTTTGCAATTCTTGATTTAGATTGCAAGTTCAAAACATTCAAGTTAGATTTTATAAGTTTTCTTGTAAGTATTAACCTTGAGTAGGAATCTAGTTCTCTTTACCTCTTATATCTTCGATCAACAAGATAATCCCTAATTTGATTTTGAAGTTTTATGTATTGACAGTCGAGAGTCCTCTTTAGTGGAACAGTCTTTATCTACAATTTCCTATGATTTCATAAAACCAACATACAACGTAAACCATGTTCGTCAACCAAGTTTGTTCAGTGGTCGTAACGTAATTAATTGGTTAGTGGGGATAAACCGGGCCGGGATTCAAAAGAATTGGGCGAAGTGTTTGTTCCCGAACGACGGAAGTGGAAAGACACTAAGGGAGAGGGATATACTCCTTTATTTTAGTAATCGCCGAAATTGTACGACGAACCTTTTTGTTCCAGGCGTACGACCCTGATACGTTAAGGTTTTTCTCGGTAGGCTCGGTTTATCATTCTAAAGTGATAGTAGTCTTAATAAATAAGAAAGAGAAGAGCTAAGATTCCAGAAAGGAGACCATTTTATTGATGGTTACAATAATAGTATAAATTTTGAGGTTTAGGTATTCTTAGAGACAGACAACATAAATGCAACAAATTCATTTATCGTATGTCGTCTGTTAGAGACAACCTATTATTATGGTGACATATGTCATTTCTTGAAGAGATAGACAAATGGCCAGAAAAATAAAATTTCCATTATTTTTCAAAAATAGTTTTATTTTTAGTAATATTAAAAATAAAAAATAAAAACCCTTTCGTCTCAACCCAAAATCTCTCTCTCTCTACGGTCAAATCTTTGCTACATTAAGCGTTTTTTCTTGTTTGCTTCATTTCGAGAGATCATCAAATTTTGAAAATATTGTTTAAATAGTATTTTAGTCTTTCTGCTTTTAATTTTGCTTCATTTACTAAACATCTATTTTGTGTATTTTTAGAAAATGAATATTTTAGTATCTTCATTTTTATTTTTATCTCATTTTTCTCGTCAACACTATTCACTCACTAAAATTCTTAAAAGGTAGCTATACATTTTTATTAAAAAGTTTCTATTGTGTATAAATTTGTATTGAAATTTTACAAATAAAGATCAAATTAATCCCTTTTGTAAAGCACCAGGATAAAAACACATGTTTTGAAAGTAAATGACTAATTAAAATGAACAAAACTTGAAAGTTTATGCACCAAAATTAACGTTATAAAAGTATAACGACCAAAATGAACTAAAGTCAAAAGTACGAGAGTAAAATAGTTTTTAAATCTATAGTTTTTTACTATATTTCAATAATTATTGGATATTTAAATATGAATGTATCAAATGAACTAAATAGGAAAAATCATCCCTATTTTTTAAAAAAATTAATTCTCAATTTCCACCTTATTTTTTTATTAAAATATTTTTTTATCAAATGTCATTTTGTCCTTGTCCTTTCACTAATGTAACGATTTAGTACTAAACTATAGTTTGTAAATCCATGTACTTTCAAATTGGTAACAATTTAATTTTTGAACTTTAGTATATAATTTTATAGTTTGAAATCTTGCAACAATTTTGTCCCAATGAAAAATCTCATCAACATTAAGTGATGATTTTAATCATATAATGATTTAGTCTTAATTTATAAATTATTTGGTCCTTTATCGGTTTATCGATCTACATATAAAAAGAAACTTAATAAAAATTTTCACAAAATGGACAAAATTCAATGACTGAATTGTTAATTTAATAAAAGTACAGAGACCAATAGTATTTTTTTAACAATTTTTTTAATTATGTATTTTTTCATAAAAACCATTAAATTGCTGTTTTGTTAATTTATTCCCGACTATTTGACATATGAAATCCAAACCATCCATTAAAAAAATTATAAAAATATCCCAAAAGGAATATTTATTTTTATATATAGTACTAGCTAGGTCTAAAATTTTATAAACATGGTAAAATTGCAAACATGGAATTACATGAGACCAACTAAAAATGACGAAAAAACAAAAAGTAATGATATTTTTATAAATACATATTTGTTTTATGAAATTTAGTAATTTTCTTAAAAATAAATATGTGGATAAAAGAAGTTCATTTCTTATGGGATACTTTAGCGTTTTTTGTCAACAAATTTTTATAGTTTTCTTTTCGGTAAGGAATGATATTATAATTGAAAATTTTTAATAGATAGAGGTAAATTTCAGAATTTTAAAAAATTGTAAAACGTTGAAAATTACTTAAAATAAACAAGTGAAATAAATTGTTCATCTTATTAATAATGTTTCAAATTTTGAAAATAATTTTTCACAAAATTTTCAACTTAAAGTTAGGTTTAATTAGTGTACTTTTGCCCATGTAATAATCTTATATTTTGCTAAGTCCTAATATTGTTAAAAATTTCAATTTCACAAGTAAATCTTATTTTCTAATTTCAATCGTCTCCATCCATAGAGTATGACAATGTTAAATATAATAAAAAATTGTCGTGATATATATTTTTAGTACAATAACATGTGAGAGTGAGAGTTCGAACATACGACGTTTTAGTCGACGGTACATGACTTAACTAGTTATATTTAGGTGGGTAAAAAGTATCGTGATGTTGATATGAACTTATGAACTAACGAAACATTAATATGGTCTCTAGATCTTATTGATTAGTCTTATTGCTCTATCCACAAAGTGATATTAAATACGATTATAAAAAAAATATTGACTTAATACTAATATGGATTAATGTGATATGGATGTGTTCAATCATTTTTCAAAACATTCATTCACAAT